CTGCTATTCAGCAGTCACAGAGCAAATCCTGCATGACTGACCACCAGAACCAGTATTGCCAGAATAATCATCCTTGCACTAAGGCCCAAGATAATATTGCTGGTCAGCTCTGCACTGAGTCAGGAAGCCAAAACCCTCCTGCACTGTGTTTGGCAACAGCCCCTTGACCTGGGAAACAGCCAAGCACGCTTAGGGAATGAGTTGCTCAGCACTCTGGAATGGTGCAGCATTCCTTACTGCAAAGAAATCTTCTATTTTGGAAAAAAGTAATGTTTACTGACCATCATTTGTGTATTTCAGCACATTCAGATCAGGGATCCTTGCAGGAACAATAAGAACTGGATGGAACACACCTCTGAACTTCATGTCAGGTCCTACAAGACAGGAATAGACGCAGACAAAAAGCTTTTCCATAACGACAGCTCCCACATACTGGAACGTAAGCTTAGGGATGAAGATGCAAAAAGAACCACAAACGTAGCCCCGGTCCTCTCATGCACACTGGAACTAAAGCAACAGGAGCTGTTCTGATCACATACATACCCACACTGGTGTTCCCAACCACAAGAGGTGCTTTAGGGTAGGTGGCTTTCAGATCCAGCAGTTCATCCAAGCTTACAGGAGAAATCCATGTTACTCGCTCCCCACGAAAAACCAGAGTTCTTTTTGGTTGATTTTCTGCCATTCTCTGATGGAGAAACATGGCAGATTTAAATATTTAGACATACAGACAGAAGTGAGGCCTAATAGACAATAGACTGAAAGTCAAAAATGTTCTTAAACAACAGCAATTCTACACAGTCCTTTAAAATTGGATAAAAAGGGGACAGAAATGTTATGCTGGCTAATGTTTGCACAATGATGAAAGTCGAGACTGTGTGGGTGAAAGGTCTTCAAGTAATTCCAGTGGGCTTATAAACAAGAATGATAATAAACAGTCCCCTAGCAAAAGATGTAGGGATAGATCCTGCAATTGCTAAAACTGTTAAAAAAGTGATGAAAAAATACTTAGTAGTAGTTCTTGGAGAGCACCAATGGCACTGACAGCAGCATCCCCTTCTAGATTATGCATACACTTAAGTGTCTCCGGCTGTTCTAGCACTGATCACTTGGAAATAGCTTGTGAACCAGTGCTGGTACAAACACACAGTAAAGAACTCCTGTCCTGCAGTCATCAATCTTTCTCCAGAAGCAGTCAGCTAACTACAGAATCTGGCTTTGAATCTCTACAATGGTAATAAAGTAAAACAAACAGCATTCAGTTTTTCTAGGGCAAATACTGCTGTCAATAATTAAGGATGCCTAACGCTTTCAATTCCAGCTGTTTATATCTTCGGCATGCCTTAATCACAGGGGCTAAACACTCTCTGATCTGGGCGGCCATCTGAGAACAGACTAACACAACTATTAAGCCACAAAACTGTTTTCCGATGTTAAAAATTGTTTGCTATTCAGTTTGCTGTGAAGTATTTTTATCTTCAGCTGCTGGACTGAAAATTCAGTTTAAGTTGCTTCTTTACCTTCTCACCTGACATCTAACTCTGCAGCTTCATTTTCCCAATATGACTTTTTTTTGGTATGCGAATATTCAATAAGCTTACTGGGCAAAAAAACAACAAGGAGTATAACAACATTAAAACGTTCTGACATGTCTTCTGATGAATTACTGCTAAGCAGGACTTAAGAATTAATTCTGAACAGAGCAACAAATAGTCTACAAGCAGCAAAAGGTACCATTAGTTCTGGAGGGAAGATAAGCTCCTGGGTGGGATCTAAGGGCTGGAATTCATCTGCTGAAAACAGGCTGGTGGACACCTTAAAAAGAAGACAAGCAAAGACCAAGAATCTTCTCTCATCATTAATTTCACAAAACAATATTAAAAGAAAAAGCAAAGCCAAACCAATAGACTGCCACTGAAGTTAGTAAAAAATGTAGTAATTTCATTATCATTTGGATTTGTTTTTAAATCACCATGCATCATTTGGAGGTGCTGAGGTGAAAGAAGTGTTCATAATATTTTCTTAAATGCTACTGCTAACACAAATGACAGTGCAGAAGCAAGCAACTGAAGGACTAAGGACAGGCTTCCTGTAGTTCTACTATAACAAAGTAGCTTCATGCCAACCTAAAGTACTGAAAACCCAAAGAGGTAGATCAGCTATTACTGAAAGAAAATTAAGAACAAGGTGAAATACTTGTATGGATAAGAGGTTTCACATAAAATCACAATCATAGCTCTAATTTTTTAGAGTGTATCAATTCTCCAGAGTCAAGTCAGCAGTTTTCCTAAGATACCAGTACTCAGAGCATCACTGATCATTGATTTAAGCAAATTTCACATATGCCCTAATGTCTTTCACAATGTAATTCTCACTGTACTGGTAAAGCTCAGACTATTAATAGTACTGACCCTGAAGAGCTGTTCAAATCTCAGCTCTGGAGACCCAAACTACCTTATACCAATTATCTGACCACAGATAGTGCTATCAGAGCCCCCCCATACAAATTCACACATAGAATCCTCAATTTTTCAAAATATTTCCAAATTTCTCACGAGGAATAATAAAATATCATATTTATCAAATACTATATGCAATATTCTTTCTCTAAGTTTTATATTGAAGCAGGATCAGTAGTATATTTAAAACTTTACCTTCTCTTCATTGTCAAACAAATTATCTTCCTGATCCAAGCAACATTTTCCATTTGCTTTTCTTTGACAACAAATGGATTCCTAAGATACGAAAATCCCATTAGTGACATACTGCCCAGAATGGCAATGAGTTAAAGCTCATAAGATAAGAGTGACTCTATATTTCAATAAAGTTCTAGATGAAGTTTATTAACAAGCTGAATTAGAAGGATTAAGTGTTAAAGGAATGATATTAAAAAATTATTTTAAGTCATCAAATGTTGACATCCTTAATACAAAATAATTCCCACTGTGTAGAATTCTTTTGACATTGTGAGAGCAGATGTAGATGGTCTGTATTGTTTCCTTTACCAACTGTTCACTCCCATTTCTCCTTGGTAGGTTTCTGACACATTGCAGTGCGTGATAAATTCTAAGAACGTGGACTGAAATTCTGCTTTTATTCATGCCAGTACTAACTCACAGTAAACCACATGGAGTTACTTCAGATTACTCCTCATAATCCAGGCTAGACACCATGTTCACTTCTGTTTATCAATTTTTCTAAGGGGTTTTTTTACACCATTTACTCAGAATGACACCTTTAAACAGAGGGTCAGTGAAAATCTTGATGGCCTGTATATGCATATACACTGATGCCCCCAATCTAGCACTCCTATCACCAGTACTTCTTACCTTACAGAAGGTTTTACAGGCATCTAAGATTGGCCTGTATCCAGTACAGCGGCACAAGTTCCCTGAAGGAAGGAAATCAGTCAGAAAAGGTTTTGCTCTAAAGATGTGGCTTTAGAACGTCATATATTTATGTGAGTTTTGTGTTTTTTAAGCTCAAGGAGAAGTGTCAGCTCTCAAAAATAAAAAACAGAACAGTGACACAAGACTTAGGACCTTGCAGCTCCTGACAAAAAATGCTGTTGTTTCAAGGGGTGTATGAAATAGTTGAGATCTGCACTACAGTGAATGCTGGCTCCAGGTCAGCAGGAGAATAAGAGATTGTACAGTATTTTTTACCCACTCAAAATATTGTTCTCTTTCCCCCTGACTTTTTTTCTAGAAGTGAAGGAAACTAACGTTACACCTTTAAACTCACCACACAGCAACAGGAAATGTCCTTGGCTCCACTGTGGCTCTAGAGCACAACAGATGACAGAAGGCTATTTTACCTACAATAAATGCTCACACTTTCCCTTACTGAAGATAAGGCCAAGAGATGCAGACTATCTGTTTTAATCCTACTGCAAAGGGCCTGTCCTGCAAGGTTTATGACATTCTCAACACCAGGCATAAAGGGACCTTGGAGACGCTCACATGCAGCTGCTTCTCCAATATGACATAATTTTTGCACATCTGATTTTAAGCATTTCAAAAGACACATATGGGGATGTTTTGAGCACCTGAAACAGTCCACAGCTCTGTGTTTCATTTTCCAGGATAAAAGAATGACAGGGAATACAAGGCCTCCATCCAGCAGCAACTCTTCTAGAAAGCACAGCTTGTAAGAGTACATCCTCCATGCATGCAGACATGTATACTCACACAGACAAGCACTCACAAAGCACCTGAAGAAATGCTTCAGGAACACACCTGCAAACTAAAAAGTGGCAATATTTACCAGCCAGAGCTGCAATCATCTGCTCTGAAGTTGGTTCTGGGTGGTTTCTTAGCAAAGTGTATATGGACATCACCATTCCAGGTGTGCAGAACCCACACTGGGAGCCATGGCACGTGGCAAGTCTTTCCTGAAACGAAATACCACAAACAACACTCCTTCCAGCACTCATCTCCATTCTAATGAATGCTCTCTTAAATAGGTGATGCCATACAAAATGTTGCCTTGGTAATAAACCAGACTTTTTAAGTAAAACATTTAAAACAATATCAAATGCAAATAATTATTTTGGGTGTGATGTTGATGCACATGTTACTAAAGAAGCTAAGTAACCTTCAGCAGACTTCTGTCTTTTTTGCACTTATACTAAAACATGAACCAAAGGGACACTGTCCAAGATGTGTCATTAGCCCAAAGAGAGCAAAGCCTGACCCACTCCAACAATCATCACGTATCAACTACTTGATCAGACTGTCAATATTAAAGTAAGTTCCATCATCAGCCTTGATCAATCAACCACCAGAAAACAACCCTGCCCTCTGTTGTCACTTAGCAGGGAAAACAACAATCTTATTAAATTTCCATGCCCTAAAAGCACTGTCACTAAATTCATTCCATACAAAAAAGAAATTAGTAATCTTCCTATATAGTGATACTGCACTCTCACCTGAACTGGATGAATCCTGGTTTTGGCACTTCCAATACCTTCCACTGTAGTCACTGCTGCACCATAAAAGGAGCAAATGGGAAGCAAACATGCATTGGCTGAATAGTGTCTTTGGAACATAAAGGGGAATAAAGAACATGAGTATTATTTAATAAACAAATCTGAGTATTATTTTTCGGTCAATCAAGACATAGCTCATACTTACATACAAAGCAGCCACTATTAACATTTGGAATGAGAAGTGATCACTTTTTAGCTGTCTCTTGACCCCCATATAAAAGCATATCTATAAGGACAATTCAATGGAATTTACATCTTCCTTAATACCTCAGTCTTTTCTAATTGCCCTCTCGTCTCTCTTGCCCACAAGGAATCTGTCAACTGTATTTTGAAGAAGAAAGGTAGGGAAAGGAAGATTGCTGTAGTCATCAGAAGAAAGTAAAGAATTACTGCTGCAAACTTATAATCAAAATTCCGATCCACAGGAAATTCTGATGTAAAATAGATACCATTGTTCCTATTTAGGAACAATGTTGCAGCATAAGCCACAGCATACCTTGCAGTTGAGAAGGCCATGATCCACAGAGTATCATCAAACAATTGAGAAAGCTTCAACTCACAGAGTAACATCATACCACTTCAGAAGGCTTCAGGAGTATGCCCATACAGAGTAACATTATGTCACTTCAGAAGGCTGCAAGTGTCTGCCCTTCTTGCTCTTTAGCCCAGCCTTTTATACCTTCATGTTGATGCATTGCACCTGTGTGCCCTCTGTTCCCTTTGGTGATTGGTCAGTGCCCCTGGGCACTCCAGCTCTAATTGCTTTTAATGCTGCTCACCTGACCTACACAGCTGTAGCCCACTGGGGATGAGGCTCAGCCACAGCCCCACTCCCAATCACCACAAACTGTGCACCTACAGAACAACACACCAAAATCAAAATTCTTCAAAGCATTTAATAATTTCAATAAAATTATTTAAAATTATTGGGTTTTAATACAGTTACATTTTTTCAGTAGTCTGCTTTAATTTTAGCTCTTTCATTAACTTTAAACATTTTCATTTGTGTTGCATTCCAATGTAATGTAATTGTACAAAAGGACAGCTGGAATGTTTTTTCCCCACCCAATAAACACTTCAGCGTACAATGACATGTAACCATTTAACAATTTGATTGATGTTTTCTCAACTTAAAAGCAATTTATTCCAGTCTTTAGCTTACGGACTCAAACTCCAGGTTTCAGTTCAAAATCTTTCTTTCTGTGGGTGGGATGTAAGGAATGGAGTTCAGTATCAAAGGGCTGATAAGACTCACACTTGTGCCTACCCTACCTTCCCACCAATTATATGACAGTATGCTGGTTTTGGCTGGGACAGAGTAGTAGCTAGTTTGAAGCTGTGCTCTGGATTTGTGCTGGAAGCAGTGCTGATAACACAGGGATGTTTAGTTACTGCAGAGCAGGGCTTACACAGAGTCAAGGTCTTTTCTGCCTCTCACCCCACCCCACCAATGAGGAGACTTTGGGAGACAACAAACTGGGAAGGACACAGCTGGGACAGCTGACCCAAAATGACCAAATCATATTCCATGTCATGTGGCATCATGTGCAACATATAGAACTGCGGGAAGAAGAAGAAAGGGTGGAAGTTTTGGAGTGATTGTGTTTGTCTTCCTAAGTAACCATCACAGATGATGGTGTCCCAGCAGTGACTGGACATCTGCCTGATGATGGGAAGTAGTGAGTAAATTGTCTACTTTGCTTTGTTTGCACAAGCAGCTTTTGCTTTATCTATTAAACTGTCTTTTCTCAACCCATGAATTTTCTCCTTCAGCATTCTGATTCTCGGCCCCATTCCGCTGGGGGGAGTGAGTGAGCACCTGCACGGTTCTCAGTTACTAGCTGGACTTAAACCACCATACTGAGCTGCAGGTAGGAGCCACATTCCAGTGGTCAAGCCAAAGAATCTCAAATTAATGCCTCCTATGACCTCTTGCAGGGGCTATCAGTATTTATTTATAAATCAAGCATTTGAGTATGATAGTTCAGCAAATTTACAATACAGCTGAATCAACAGCAATTTTTCCAGCATTCTCCTTTTGGATTAAAGTGACCTTTCCTCTAGATACTTCTACTATTAAGTACAAGTTCTACAACTCTGTTTTTAAGGTTTCATATCTGGAAATGGTATCAACAATCATAAATTTTTCTGCAGTTTCAAAATATTCTGTTGAGGATACCGTATCTTCTTTGAAGCTGGCTCATAAGTTGATATCATCACTGTGCAAGCACCACAACCACCTCCTCCACAGCCATACTTAGTTCCTGTAAGACAGACTGAAAATGCTGTCATTAGGGAAAATAATTATCTGGTTCCATTCTGGGCTTTATTCCACTCAAAGGCTTGAGACAACCTTTTTTCCTAAACTCCTAAGGAACACAGAATTTGTCTGGTATCAGCATATGTACTGGATTCTGTTCTATATTGGAATAAATTTTCAGTGAAAGCAAGATGGAAGCTAAGAAGTTACATGACCAAAATCCTCTTCCCAAGAAAACAGAAAACTTGATTATAATTTATTTTGGAAGAGGAGTAAGTTGTGACAGAAAAGGGAAGTGAAAATTACTTCTCCAAGTGAAAACTGGAAAGGAAGAAATATGTAATGGGCAAATCAGCTGTATATTTGAAATTCCAGTGGAACACTAAAACAAATTTCCCAGTTTCTCCCAGAAGGCCCATTTATAGACAGGATATTTGCCTTGCATCACATCTGAAGGATCACACTTCTGAGAGAAGTGCTCATTTCTGTGAATCTGGAACAGTGGCCAGTCTAAAACTGTGAATCAACAAACAGCTACTTTAATGTTCCAACGCCACCAAAAGAAGATGCCTTTTTGCCCCACAAAATTCCATCAGTCTCAGGTTTTCATCACAAGATCTCCCCTTTACCAGGAGAGAGACTATTACAAAGCCTGGGGACTTTTATTCTGTCAAGTTACTGACCCCTAGGTTTTTAGACTTCTTTATGAGGTGGGAGGGGAGGAACACAGACACATATTCATTGCGCCTGATGGCATAATTTATCTCTTTAAAAAGCCAGGCCAAAAATACAGCAGCTCAACTGAAGGATATTTGGATTAAGAAAGAGACATCATTTAGTGCAGTTGATTTATCTTAAAGCTATCACAACTTCCTTAATCTGGTAATTAAACCTTGAATTAAAATTTCTTAGAATTTTACTTGAATAAGGCTTTCATGAGTGACTTTAGGGAACAGACAAGAAAAGGATACGCCTCTTTCGCAGATAAGCCAAGAGCATTTGTTCAGGATCAGCATTTTTCTCTATTATCTACAGCAAGAAAGTAAAAACAAGGTTTAATTAAGAAACCAAGGCATTTCGTAATCCAGGGCACAGACTACATTCACACAAGGCCAGAAGAGAATCCTTCTCTGGTTCCCTCTCATAGTACTACACTAATTGCCAAACACCACAGGAGAGTTTGGACTCCTGGAAACTCCTTTTCAGACACATACACTTCCAGAAAAGAACTGTTAGGGCACCGGGCAAGTACTAAAAATAACTGGTGCTCAGTGAAATGTTATACTGAGGGAACTGACCTTCGGCCACACTAGAAATAAAAATGTAGAACTTTAAAGACAGCATAAAGAACTAACTAATGATTTGCAGATTTTAAAGTCTCCCTGGCACTCTGACATACTCGAATAAACATTAGAGGAAGTCTGTAAGGCTATCGGCAGTAGCGATTTCTTTTCTAGTTTTATTTATATTAACCTTCACTTGCTGTAAGAAACTGACAACAGAAATATCCACACTCTTGATCGAGTACAGTATTTCTTATTTGGTCACTTAGAATCAGCTAGTTCATTACACTTGGTTTGGATCAACAACCAGTCCTAGCAATATTATCTTTACGCTCAATAGTCCAAATTTGGGCACTAAAGTCTTGCTTTCAGTTGTGCCTCTGAAAACCTGACACCATCAAAGATGAGAAGCCAGACATCCAAGTGGAAAAAGGGGTTTGCTTACCAGCCAAGTTTGATACCCAGCTGAAAGTGTGTTTCACTTTGACACACTTTTTCTCCCAAACATAGCAGAGCTAGCCAAAATGGGATGCAACCATCCAACCTTCTTCCGGAGGTTTGTGTGAGGCTTCGGTTACACTCGTTCGAATAAATCTGAGGAAGCCAAATCTATGCCCTTGGGGGTTGCTTCAGGCACAGCAGCCCCCCTCTCTCCGGCCCGTACTTACCTTCCTCCCGTTCACACAGAACACGAGCTCCTGAGCCCCCGCGGCCCCTTGCTGCGCCATCGTTCGCAGCCCGGCACCGGAGCAGCAGGGAAAGCCGCGCAGCTGGACGCGCCCTGGGGCGGGGCGGGGCCGCGGGGCGGGCGCGGAATGCGGGGCCGAGCCAGGCGGTAACACGGGCATTGTTTCCAACAAATATTGATTTTCTTTAGCTTTCTAAAGTGTTATTTAAGTGTTGAAAAACGAAGTCGTGCCTCGCACTTTCTCAAAGGACACAGGTGTTCTTGCAGAGCTAAACAGCAACGTTAACACTGTGCACTGTTATCGGGTTCTTATAATATCACCAAGAGTAATTTAAAATTGAGATAAAATCCAGCAATGTAGTGATCATGGGACCAATGTGATTTTTTTGCTATATTTGCATTCACAAAATAATCAGCAGTAAGGTTCAGGTATCAACCATTTGTAAGGGCTAGTTGTGCAGGAAAGGTTTTACAGAAAAAATACTTTCCTCTTTTTCTATAATCAAAATATATGGAATTAATTTCCTACAAAATTTCAATTAGATTAGTAAACATGAGAAAAAACAACTTTAAAACTATAAAAAGAAGTTCAAATTACCTTATTCTCAGCAAAATTCTCCTAATTCTTGGTGATTGCTACAAACAGATTTTTATGTCAAAAATCATGAGCTGCTTTTTCATCATTTTCCTGGAAAGAGCTTCTAATATATCAAATGACCTGGTAAAACAATCACATATAGTGAAGTTTCAAAGACAATGCAACATTCTTTATGCTGCTTTTATGTTATCATTTTTTGTAACAATAAAAAGAAATGCAACCTAGGAAATAACAAAGTGAGTTTTCTCTGTGTTCTATTATTGAACATCAATTTCAGCAACAAGAGTGAGGATGGAGAAAACAAGGAAAGAAGGGCAGTAGCAATAATATGATTTTACAGTTACTTAGCTTCTGTGATCTTCAGGCCACTTTCTTTATACTTTTTTACTTGGAAGGATATCTATACTAAAGGAATGGAAGAAATGAAGGCATAAACCCCCAGGCCTTTTACTTTTATTGAAAATTTCATGCTTGTATTTGGGACACCCTAGCAGTCTAGCTGGTAACACCTGAGGCTGTGTAGAACAACAGGACCTTCACTGAAAAAATAATTAAGCCAGTCCCCAATGAGATTATTTATTTTCTGGGAAGATAAAACATGTGCCTCTGTTTCTAGCTTTCAAACCACAGGCAGTAGAGAGAAACAACCATTTAAAAAACCATTGTGTTTTGCTGCTGCAGTGCCAGCACCGGGAACACAAGTTTTAACAGGTATTTCTTGATGGTTTCTAATGACACAGTTGCTGATGTTGATAAATAGTGGAAGCTAGCAATAACATTTCAATTAAAAATAAAATAAATTAATTTCAAACTTAGTAATAAAAGCCAAGGAAAATGCTTAATAATTTCTATGTGTACTTCCTTCTAAAAAATAACATTGAAAAAGGATAGAATCTATCTTCCCAACCATTTCTGCAACTCTTCACAATAGTCTTGGCGAATGTGGTGATGTACACAGCATGTACCAGGAAGAAAAAAGTCTGCCTGCTGAAACTTCCCAAATAATGTTAACAGCTGTTTTGCAGTGCAGATGACATTGTCTGGGTGATGAGGTAAGTTTTTTATTGGAAGAATTGTCATACTGATTGAATACTCTATTTGTACTGCAAGGTTCTATATGAAAACACCTTGCTCTACTTACTGCTGTATAATTACAATCTCTACATGATCTTTGCAATGATAACCACAGCTAGACAACTCTCTGTTTAGGGAATAAATGTCCCCTTTGTAAACTATCTCACTAGTGATACATTTAACTCTAAATTCATATATGGAAAGTCCTACAGCATCTTGAGGAAGCTGCCTTAGGGCTACAGACCCTAACAAAATAACCACAGTAGAAAACAGTTGTGGTATTACTTAAGTGTTTGTAAATAACACATTTACGCCTCTTAGTGTTTATGGTTATAGTTCCAGACTTACATGTAGAATGGACACACCTGAAAGTTATATCCAGGAGTGTGTTCTGATATGTATCAGTCCTTTTCTGTCAAAATACACAGCTGAAATTCTGGCAACTCACAGGAGAAGGATGTAGGTTCCTCCTATTGAACTTCTCGAGATTCCTCTCAGCACATTTCTCCAGCCTGACCAGATCCTCTGAATGGTGACAGAACCATGGGGTATTTCAGCCACTCCTTCCAGTTTCCGATCACCTGCAGACTTGTGTAGGGTGCACTGGCTCATACAGGTTGTTAGTGAGCGTGTTGATCACTGCTGGCAGCAGTGTGAAACCCTAATGTTTTGCCTCCAGCTGGACCATTTGGCACTAATCACAACCTTCCAGCTTTTCCACTCACCTCACTGTGCCCTTAACAAATCCATACTTTGTCAGTTTGTCTGTGGAATGTTATTAGAGAAAATATCAAAAGCCCTACTATAATTGAGACAAGCATGTAGTGCTCTGCCCTCACCCACCAAGCTAGTTGGAGAAGTCTATCAGGTTCATAAAGCCTGATTTCCTGATTGCAAATCAGTGCCATCTGCTCCCAACCACCTTCTTGTCTTAAACATCTGTTAAAGCACTAATTTCTCCATTAACTTCCAGCTTACAATGTAATCTACAATGAAGTACAAAGAGTATATTTAAAAGAATGTTTTAAAGAATATATTATAATTTTTAAAAGAATATACTGTATTTTAAGAATATACTTTTAAAGAATACATTATAAATTCAAGAATATCAGTTACACCTCTTAAAAAGAGACATGCTGTACCAGACAAAAGGTCAAGCTAACCAAAGAACTGGTCTCTTGAGAGGGTAACTGGGGAATGTCCTTGGAAAAGGTACAAAAATTTGTAAAAGGCATAGTAAGGCTTCTGCAGAATCATCTTCCAGCCTTCAAAAATTTGCAATTCAGGAACATCCTATGCCAGAAATGGTTTTTCTGGTAATTCTTCCTAGATTTTTCTTCCATTAATGTGTCTGATCAATTTTTAAGCCTGTGTAAACTAGTAACATCTACTGCATATGCATGAAGAACCACTATCCATAACCAAAATAAGTTAATTTGGATCTCTATCTCATTAAACATGCCTCTCTGTTGCAAAATTAACCTGAACCTTATCTATTGTAATGTGTAAAAGCTGTGCAGGTAGTGAGCCTCTGGTAGCATCTACAAATCAGGTACTACAAGAAAACTGTCAGCTGACAGCACATTATGGAATGCAGAGGGGAAGCAGTACAAAACCTGAAATCTGAATGGTATGACATTATTGTATTACTTGTCACATGGGCAGTCTCAATTGGAAACTCAAGGTGTTGCTTTCTCTAGACCATATTTGCTACTGAATTCCTACTGCAGTGCTTTTTTCTTCCTTGCTACCTCTGGCACATACTGTGGGCAATTGACTTCCCTCCATTATTTATTTCTCAATGAGATTTCCTTATTCAAATCTCAGTGTGATTCTGTCAAATCCAAAAGTCAACTATCAAAAAAAGACTATCTCCATCTATTTCAATAAATTCATAAAAATTTGGTATGTGTGTATCCATTCCAATCAGCACTGAGAACTGGTTCCACTCAAAATAAACATGAAAAACTCACAGTACAATTCCCAAAGCTCGTTTATTTTTATTTCTCATTAAAACATATATTTTCTAATAATTTAAGAAATGCTGCAAACCATTTGAACAGATTAAAAATTAATGACCTGAGATGCAAAACAGGAGTGAGCCTCACCTGTATAAGTCTTCCTCAGTAAAGTATTCTGTGCCCCTTTTACAGAGGTTCTTCTCCAGAAAATTTCACTGTGGAAGACCTTACTAATCAAAGAACAACAAAGAGTCTATATTGCTAAACATTTACATAGATACATAAACAATTGTACCCATTTTAGAAGTATTGTCCATAAAGGCAATTCTCTCTTCCTCAATAAAATTTTGATTTGCTTTTAAAATTTACTTTCTTCTTTACTTTGTAGACTGAGGAATCCAGGAATTGTGTATCTGTAAATCGATCCCCTCTCCTT